TAAAAAAAAAAAAAGTTGGTTTTTTTTTTTTATTACCTTCAACTATTCACTGGGGGGGGGGGTGGGGGGGGGCCGCGACCCCCCCCCCCCCTCCATCGGGACACCCCTGTGTGTAATCCTTTTATCATTAGCACAGATACTCTACAGTAAAAGACAGCAGTGGCGGATCTAGAATTTTTATAATGGAGGGCGCTTCACTGGAGGGAACTAGGGGTGATCATGATCATAAAACGTAGCATCAGCTTATTTTTCAGCCTTTTCTGCTGGGAAAAATCGAAAATTTTCTTTTGAACTAGGGGCAATCGCCCCCAGTGGTAGCCTAAATCCGCCCGTGAAACACAGTACTATGTATAAATAAAATAAATTGCATATTCATGGGGTAAAGTTAAAAAACGGATTGATTCTCTCTAGCAATCTCTTATTTTATTGATCGACAGAAATAATTTTCGTGTATTCAATTTATCTGAGCATCTATCTTCCTTTGGTGAAAAATAAAGATATTAAATAGTGCTAATCGAAAAGATTGCGAATAATATATTTCTATAGCTCGAGTCAGTCATACGACTCCATTGCATCGAATCACATACTCTTATAAGAAAAATCGCATATAAGTGAATGTTTACATCAATCTAGAGGACTTATGAAAAATGAAAGACAGTATTAAGGAATGAGTTAAGTATGATCTTTACATACCACTACGCTTATCTGCGCATCATCACATTTTATTTTGAAAATGATATTAAAGCCTCCAAATGAATTGATATGAAACATACAGGTTTCATTTTACATTTGATTAATTTTGACTCATAGAAAGAAAAACAAAATATTCACTTACTGCAACCCTTATCGTAACCTTTTCTTATCCATCATTATAAGTAGCACGGTTACGAACAATAGGAGTCGCAAAATTTTGTATTAGGATTTCCGATCACTTCCAACAAAAAATGATTCTACTAGTTGGTACTATCTTTGTATTTATTATTCAGTACACTACAGATACCATCTACAGATGTTCCTGTCAATGTCCTTATGGTTTTGACCGTGGCTATGTATTAACAACAGCAAACATAACCCAACAGTGTATTGAAGCGTGTATTGCTGTTCCATTCAATCCTTGTATTTCTACAAATACATACGCCTGTTTGGGAACAGATTGTACCTATTCGAGTGAATATGATAATTCAACAACAGCAACAACAATTTCACAATACAGATGCTCTTGTCAATGTCCATATGCGGATAATCAAGGTTTTGCATACGCAGCAGAGAATTCTTCTCAAGCTTGTACTATAGCTTGCATCAGTGTTCCATTCAATCGTTGTCGCTCTACAAATACGTATGCATGTTTGGGAAACGACTGTGCCTACTCGAGCGAATACGATAATGCAACAGCAGTGTTAGTACCACGATACAGATGCACTTGCCAATGCCCATATGGATCTATTCGAGGTTTTGCATACGCAACAGAAAATTCTTCTGAAGCTTGTGTTACTGCATGTATTGCAGTTCCATTCAATCCTTGCCGCTCTTCGAATACATACGCTTGTTTAGGAACAAATTGTGTGTATTCAAGTTCATACGATAATTCAACAACAGCAATGATAATTCCACAATACAGATGCTCTTGCCAATGTCCATATGGGGATACTCAAGGTTTTGCATACGCAGCAGAGAATTCTTCTCAAGCTTGTACTATAGCTTGCATCAGTGTTCCATTCAACCCTTGCCGTCCTACAAATACATACGCATGTTTAGGAACGGACTGTGCGTATTCGAGTGGATATGATAACAAAACAGCAATGATTGTTTCGCGATACAGATGCAGTTGCGAATGTCCATATGGATCTATTCGAGGTTTCGCTTCTGCAACAGAAAACTCTACTGAAGCTTGTGTTACGGCATGCATTGCTGTTTCCTTTAATCCTTGTACTTCTACAAATACATACGCGTGTTTGAGCACAGATTGTACCTATTCAAGCGAATATGATAATTCAACAACAGCAATGACAATTCCACAATACAGATGCTCTTGCCAATGTCCATATGGGGATAATCAAGGTTTCGCCTATGCAACAGAGAATTCTTCCCAAGCTTGTGTTAGAGCATGCATCAGTGTTCCATTCAATCCTTGTCGCTCTGCAAATACATATGCGTGTTTAGAAACGGACTGTACCTTTTCAATCGAATACGATAATACAACAGCAGTGATAGTACCACGATACAGATGCAATTGCGAATGTCCATATGGATCTATTCGGGGTTTCGCTTATGCAACAGAAAATTCTACTGAAGCGTGTGTTAGGGCTTGTATTGGTGTTCCATTCAATCCTTGTACTTCTGTGAATACTTACGCATGTCTAGGAACAGATTGTGCCTATTCGAATTCATATGACAACTCAACAACAGACGCTGTCATATTGATCGTACCACGGTATAAATGTTCTTGTCAATGTCCTTATGGTTCCAATCAAAGTTTTGCTTATGCAATAGTAAACTCTGCTGAAGCTTGTGTTAGAGCATGTATTGCGGTGTCTTTCAACCCTTGCAACCCCTGGAATACTTACGCTTGTTCGGGAATAAATTGTGTCTATTCAAATTGGTATCTTCATTCAAGAAGAATAATTATTGCTCCGCGCTATAGATGTTCTTGTCCATGTACGGATGGTTCAAACAGACCAACTGCATACACACAAGAAAATTCTCCAGAGGCTTGCGCAGTCGCCTGCAACTCTACAATAGAAATAAACAGAATGGAAGGTATGTTGAAAATTTCACCTTGTACACTGATTGAGAGGTTTTCTAAGATATTGAGTGATTAATAAGGTGAAGAGTGCTGATCACAAAAAATGAGGCAGCCTCTTTCTATTAAAACATGATGATGATAGGAAAAACAATGCAAATTCTTTCACCCTTTTTGAAATATAACGATACTTGAAATTCTAAAATGTTAGAAAAAGATTCTTTGATTGCGTGTACTTTTCAACTATGCAGCTAAATATTCAGTAAGCCATTATTGGAAAGTTTTTGTTGCTTGAGATATATGAAAGTCTGACATTTTAGTTTCGAGTCGTTTGCAAATTTCACCATTTTAAATTTCTTCACCACTTATCTTGAGGGAATGAGTTGTACCAGAAATCGAAGACGAATCTACAGTTGTTTAGTATTGATACTGCTTAACTAATAATACTTATTGAACCCAGTGACTTTAGTTTCGTACTCTATACGTTGTTTTATATGTATTCTAGAAAATATGACGATCGACTCCATCATCGACAGCTTTGACGCTGATTTCAATGAAAATATTTTTTCTTTGATAAGTAATGCGGTAAGCACAAGTTCATTATCAACCTGTTTATGTGATAAGGCAAGATATAGGGTTTTCAGAGAAATTTATTAACAACTATTGGATGGCTGATGCACTTTGTCTTTTTTTGCAATTGAGACAGAAGCTTTGTAGGTCTATCTAAACTTATTGACTTTATCTGAAGGTAGTGTGTAGATATTATATTGAAAGTATGACTTGAAAATATCTGTGTTAATAATATTGGTTTTTGTGAGTCAGCTCTGTAAATAATTTTTGCGGTTGTCAAATGAAATTATGTAGCATCAAATATAAAATAGTATTTCATTCAAAACGATCGAAAAGTATCAATAGATAAATTTGTGAATGAAAAATTGCACTGATAGATTCGAAAGTACTTCTAAAGAAGAGATAAGTTAGGAAATCTAATACTGTAACGTGCAAATTATAATTGTAAGCATTACATGATATCCTTTAACATATATTCATACTAGACTTCCTTTACCACTGAGAATACTACAACTAGTATGAATGAAACAAAGCTTGGCTTAGTCGATCCAAAAGACGTTGTGGTCTTGGCGTCGTACCGTCGTGCAATATCTCGACAGTTGTACAGAGATGAAGATCGTTTTGAACAAGTACAGATTCGTGTGCGTCAGCATCTATTGAAAACACTTGGTTGTAAAATAGTAGATATTGAAAAAATTCTCCAATGGGAATGGATTCCACGTGATAAATGTGGTTTCAGATTGGCTGGTCAACCTTTAAAAGTACCAATACCAGCGGTATAGTAGTTTCACAATTTAAACACAAAACCTATATAAAAATTGCATCATTCATGTCTATTATAGAATGGCAAAGTGTACGCTGCAGTCGAAGGAATTTCCTTCTATGCAAATGGGTCTTTTTATTTGAATTTGATAGAAGCAGATGAGAATAATGCATTGTTCAATTCTGATGATGTCGATCTGATAATGAAACAAGGCATTACGGGTATGGATCTATGTTTCTTCTTTTTCCTCACTTTACATGATATTTTTTCTAATTGAAAAAAAAGGTGCTTCTTTCTCGTTGGATCCTCCTTCGGATTTGCCACATCCATTTCAAAAAGCTACTTGGGTGCCATACGATGCTCTTAATGGCACAGATTTTCTCGCTACGATGCTTCATGCAGATTTATTATTGAAGAGTATGAATTTTCTAGCGGAAACATCAGCTAAATCTCCGTTTCGTACCCGATCAATTCGCGATGGAGCTTATTTGGCACTCTCTGAAGATCTTTATCAACAATTATTCAAAGAAAGCCGCGCAGAATATGGAAGAATCAGTTCATCTGTTAGAATGTGGATAGAATCAGAACCGATCAAATACAACATAATAGAACATGATGGTAGTATAACCTATAGATTTGGACCATCAAATATGCAGATCAAATATGAGAATCGCCTTGAGTATGATGTAGAATATGGAACTATTATCGGTGCCAGAATTTAATAGGGGTGGATGTAAGACAAATATCTCGAGAACGACAACAGCTAACGACCTGCGGTTTTCACCGATCGAAGGAGGCTAAGCTAGGACGTGTTG